TCTATAAAAAGGGAAATAAAAACAACCCAGGAAACTACAGACCAGTTAGTTTAACTTCTGTGCCAGGGAAGATAATGGAGCAAGTAATTAAGGAAATCATCTGCAATCACATGGAAGGTGGTAAGGTGATAAGGAATAGCCAGCATGGATTTGTGAAGAACAAATCATGTCAAACCAATCTGATAGCTTTCTTTGATAGGATAACGAGCCTTTTGGATAAGGGTGAAGCTGTGAATGTGGTATACCTAGACTTTAGTAAGGCATTTGATACGGTCTCGCATGATATTCTTATCGATAAACTAGGCAAATACAATTTAGATGGGGCTACTATAAGGTGGGTGCATAACTGGCTGGATAACCGTACTCAGAGAGTTGTTATTAATGGTTCCCAATCCTGCTGGAAAGGTATAACGAGTGGGGTTCTGCAGGGGTCTGTTTTGGGACCGGCTTTGTTCAATATCTTCATCAACGACTTAGATATTGGCATAGAAAGTACGCTTATTAAGTTTGCAGATGATACCAAACTGGGAGGGATTGCAACTGCTTTGGAAGACAGGGTCATAATTCAAAATGATCTGGACCAATTGGAGAAATGGTCTGAGGTAAACAGGATGAAGTTTAACTAAGACAAATGCAAAGTGCTCCACTTAGGAAGGAAAAATCAGTTTCACACATACAGAATGGGAAGAGACTGTCTAGGAAGGAGTATGGCAGAAAGGGATCTAGGGGTTATAGTGGACCACAAGCTAAATATGAGTAACCAGTATGATGCTGTTGCAAAAAAAGCAAACATGATTCTGGGATGCATTAACAGGTGTGTTGTGAGCAAGACACGAGAAGTTATTCTTCCGCTCTACTCTGCGCTGGTTAGGCCTCAACTGGAGTATTGTGTCCAGTTCTGGGCACCACATTTCAAGAAAGATGTGGAGAAATTGGAGAGGGTCCAGAGAAGAGCAACAAGAATGATTAAAGGTCTTGAGAACATGACCTATGAAGGAAGGCTGAAAGAATTGGTTTTGTTTAGTTTGGAAAAGAGAAGACTGAGAGGGGACATGATAGCAGTTTTCAGGTATCTAAAAGGGTGTCATAAGGAAGAGGGAGAAAACTTGTTCATCTTAGCCTCTAAGGATAGAACAAGAAGCAATGGGCTTCAGCAAGGGAGGTTTAGGTTGGACATTAGGAAAAAGTTCCTAACTGTCAGGGTGGTTAAACACTGGAATAAATTGCCTAGGGAGGTTGTGGAATCTCCATCTCTGGAGATAATTAAGAGTAGGTTAGATAAATGTCTGTCAGGGATAGTCTAGACAGTATTTGGTCCTGCCATGAGGGGAGGGGACTGGACTCGATGACCTCTCGAGGTCCCTTCCAGTCCTAGAGTCTATGAAAAAGAATCTATGAAAAAACATACCTGTGAGAAGGTAAGTATTATCATACACATTTGACAGACTAAGATACAAACATGTCCACCTAGCAAGGCTATGTTGCGTTCAACTGCCTGGTGCATCTTCACATTTTCCTAGGTTTGTGTGGCTATCTAACTCAGGTGGAGCAGTGAGGCCATAAATGGTAGTAGCTCTCTCCTGACCAGAGTTCTTTTTCCATTGCCCTGTTGGATTGTTACTTCTGGTCTTGACCTTACATCATGCTGCCCAACCTGTTCTACCCACTAGGTTATCAAAACAGGGCTGTTGTTTTCATGGTCCCTTGCTCTTGGAATTTGCCCAGACAATAGGGCTCCATATCTCATTAAATTTTACCCAAATTATTTATACTTCAGATGATGCATGCCCTGTTTAATCATTTGCAGTCTCCGTGTTGAAAAGAGCTACTATGTGCATACCCCTCTCTCTTTTTAAGTTATGCTCTTTGGTGTGGCATTTTTTTAAATATCGTCAACAGTATTTTTTTCTTGATTTGATCATTGTTAGTTATATTTCAGCCATGAAGCAATCCAAGCACCTAAGTGGAGGAAATGAGAGGCATTTTATAAATAGGATGAATACATTATTATTATTACTACATCATGCATGATTATTATATATGTTATTAATAAGGACAGGTTAACAAGACATTTGAACTACAGACTGGACTTACAAAACGTGAGGAGTTGTCATTTCTCAGGGTTTTGGCATTCCCAAAGGCTTCTAAGGCAGGATTTGCTTGGATGATTTGATCTTCCAAGGTTCCCTAAAAATCAAAGGGTTGAAACATGGTTAATAACCATCAGCATAGAAACACATTATACAAATCTAACTCAACATGTGTACTTTAGTTATATTAAGTGACTTGGCTCACACCTGTAGCTAGTACAGCCTGGACAGAGCACAGGAGCAGAATTCTCAGCCCTTAATATTCTAAAATCCTTGAACCCTAACAGCTGTCTTGTAGATTTCATGCCGAATGGCAACTGAGAACAAGTAAACCAACCCTGTTTTTGAAGTGCTATAGCACAGGTGTATACGCAAGCGTGTACATGTATGGGAGGCACTATAGAATAAAGTGAGAAGCATTGACTAAATAACACATACGTTAGTATTGGTTGAAGGCACTCGAAATTCCTAATGGGTGAGATTTTCAATCACAACTAGAGGATTTAGAACTCCACATAACTCCCATTAATTTAAATTAGCTTATGACTATGTGCTGAAGTGAACTTAATTTGAATAGTCTAGGCTCAGTTGGAATATGGGACAATATAGAATGGAATTATATTAAACAGAGGCTCATGATCTGCCCTTGACAAACTAAGTACCATTTTCAGATTGAAAATATAAGACAAAATAATGAAGTCATCTACTTACCCCAGTCTTGGTGGCTGGTTGCTACCAAAGGAGCAATAATAACAACAACAACAAACAAGAAAGAAAAAGGGGGACATTATGATTACTACCATGAAGGAGTTTATGAAAGACAGAAAGATTAGCAAGGATTAAAGTTCCAGTCAGCACAAACCAGGCAAGCTCTAGGAATATACAGTGTGTGAAGCTCACACATTTTGTGGGGGATGGGACCAGAGGTGAAACTAAGCCGGTCCGGTATGGCGTACCGGCAAGAGCCAGTACGCCGTGCCGGACCGGACTGGCTTCCCCAGGCTGGTGATTTAAAGGGCCCGGGGCTCCCTGCAGCGGCTGGAGCCCTGGGCCCTTTAAATCTCCTCCAGAGCCCTGCTGCTGGAGCCCCGGGTTAGCGGCGGCAGGGCTCCGGCGGTGATTTAAAGGGCCTAGGGCTCCGGCCGCTGCGGGGACCCCCAGGCCCTTTAAATCACCCCTGGAGCCCTGCTGCTGCTACCAGGGGGCTCCAGCAGCGGGGCTCGGGTGGTGCTTTAAAGGGCTCGGGGCTCCCCGCAGCAGCCTGAGCCCTGGGCCCTTTAAATCACCGCCTGGCCCCATTGCTGGAGCCCTGGAGTAGTGGCGGTAGGGTGCCCAGTGATTTAAAGGGCCCAGGGCTCCCCGCAGCGGCCGGATCCCCGGGGCCTTTAAAGCACCTGTCGGAGCCCCGCTGCCGGAGCCCTGGGGTAGTGACGGCAGGGCTCCCGTGGTGATTTAAAGGGCCCGGAGCTTCGCTGCAGTAGCGGCGGCCAGAACCCCGGGCCCTTTAAATTGCCACTGAGCCCTGGGACTCCCAGCCACCTCTGCAGCTGGTAGCTCTGGGGGTGATTTAAAGGCCCCAGGGATCCCAGCCACAGCCGGAGTACAGGCAGAGTGTAACTTACCAAACTGGAATTTAGGAGAGCTGGTTGGAATTTTTTTGTCAACATTCTTTTTTGACAACCCCTCCTCCCCACTTCAAACAAACAATAAAATGTTTTTCAACAAAACAATAGTTTTGGTAAGAAATTTTCCAAGTTTTTGACAACCAAAACCATTTTTAGGTTTGTTTTTTTTAAACAAATACCCAAAACATTCAGCAAAAAAATTAATTGAAAGCAGAAAGTTCATTTTTATCTAAGTTTTGCATGGAAAAGAAAAGATAGTTTTTGATCAGCTCTAGAATGCAGTCAGGACAGCAAGGCTAATGGTTTCTGGAAAAAAGTGCCATGCAGTCTTTAATAATCACAAGTGGTAGAAGCCTTGGCTTTGCTGTCCCATCTGGAAGGCAGCAGCTTCAGTAGAAGCTAAGCCCCTAACACCATGTTGGGGAAGACTAGTGCGGACTCAGAAGGAGAAACGCCACTTTTTGAGTCATTAACACCTTTTCCCCAAGCACCCAGTCTTTTCCTTTTGGATCTCCTGTCCAAGTGGTGATCATGTCCACTGCTGCTTAGCATGTGAGATCTGATGGTATGATCACAGACTCATAGGTAGGTTTCACACAATAGGAAAATCTTGGCTGTCATTAAATAGCCCCTTGCATACTCACACTTTTTTTACCAGGTTCCCCGAGTGCTGCAACTGTGGCAAAATACTGAATGACACGCTTTGTATTCACAGTCTTGCCGGCACCAGATTCTCCACTAAAAGCAGAGGGATAATAATGACACTCCTAAAACCAGCCATAATCAGTCCTTTCACCCTCCAGTCCTGCCAACTCTTCATTCCTGACGGGCTCTTCTCAGCTGCTTATCGTGCTCTTACTGCTGATGCGTGGACTTTTGAGTGGCAATTCATACCACTGACAGAACGAACAGGGATGAACGTTGGCAATAGCAATAACTAATTATTCACCGGACTGGGCTCAGAAATGTAATAATAATTTGCACTGTGTAGTGACTTCCATCTAAGTACAGTGAGTCGCATTACAAACGTCAAGTCTCAGCACTTGAGATAGGTGAATGTTACAGACAGTAGGGTCAGGGCCGGCGCAACCCATTAGGCGACCTAGGCGGTCGCCTAGGGCACTGCAATTTGGGGGGCGGTGACCGCAGCGGTATTTTGGCAGTGGGACCTTCCGCCGCCTCTGTGGGGTGGCAGCATTTCGGCGCTCCTGAGTAGGGTCCAGAAAGGCAAAGTTACTTGCCCAACATTACACAACAAGTAGCTGAGCTGTGACTAGTATTCAAGCACCTGGCTCTACAAACTGTGCTCTAGCCCTAGACCATGCTCCCTGCTTTGATTGTCCTGGTTTGCTCCCTCCCTACACTTGACTGCCTCGTCAAAATGCCTAGTTTAAATACATTTTGTGCTGGTGAAAGGTGCCATATTAACCACTTCGGGAAAAGAGGTCTTCTATCTACCCATGGGACAGATAGAGCAAGGGCAGCAACAGCACACCTTTCTTCTGTGCTGCCTTCCCAGTGTGCCTTCTGCCTGGACTGAAAGGACCACATCTAGTTGGTTAGAGAAGAGGTCACAGTCAGCTAAGTCCTCAGCAACTCATTTCACACTGGCTACAGCACAGCCATCTGATGGCAACAACTTCCAATCACGAACTCAGACTCAGACTTTAAGATCAGAAGGGACCATCATGATCATCTAGCCCAGTGGTCTCCAACCTTTTTACACCCAAGATCACTTTTTGAATTTAAGGGCAACCCAGGATCTACCCCGCCCCCTCCTTGAGGCCCCACCCCACTCACTCCACCCCCCCGCATCACTCGCTCTCCCCCACCCTCACTCACTCTCACTGGGCTGGGGCAGTGGTTCGGGAGGAGGTGCAGGCTCTGGGCTGGGACTGAGGGGTTCGCAGTGTGGGAGGGGACTCTGGGCTGAGCCTGGGGCAGGGGGTTGGGGTGCAGGAGGGGGTGAGGGGTGCATGCTCTGGAAGGGAGTTTGGGTGCAGGAGGGGGCTCTGGGCTGGGGCAGAGTGTTGGGGTGTAGAGGGTGTGCTGGCTCTGGGAGCGGGGTCAGGGCTGCAGCTTGTGGTGCAGGAGGATGTTCGGGGTGCAGGAGGGAGTTTGGGGTGCTGGCTCTGGGAGGGGGCTCAGGACTGGGGTGCAGCTCCTGACGGGCAGCACTTACCTCCAACAGCTCCCAGTCAGCAACACAGCATGGCTGCTGCTAAGGCAGGCTCCCTGCCTACCCCGGCCCCATGCTGCTCCTGGAAGGGGCCAATGTGCCCCTGTGACCCTTGGGGGGGGGCGGCATGAGGTTCTGCTCCCATTGGCCACAGCTCCCCATTCCCGGCCAATGGGAGCTGCGGGGGTGGTGCTTGCAGAGAGAGGTAGCATGCAGAGGGAGACCCCTGCCCCCCGGGCTGCGCTAGCTGCTTCTGGGAGTGGTGTGGGGCCGGGGCAAGCACGCTATGTCGCCGGAGATCGCGATCGACTGATCTAGTCTGATCTCCTGCACATTGCAGGCCACAAAACCTCCCCCACCACCCTCTCCTGTAATAGACCCTAACCTCTGGGCTGAGTTACTGAAGTCCTCAAATCATGGTTTAAAGACTTCAAGTTACAGAGAGTTCACCATTTAAAGGTCAAGTTAAAAACAGTCACTCTACAAATGCAAGACTGTGTACTCCATTCTTAGCACTGAAACTGGATGTCCAGGATGTCATTCACCTGGAAATTGCTCGGCATCCAAGGGTTAACTGAGTTTCCGTCCCACCCATTCACAGACATTGCATTTCAGAAGGACTCTTTTTTTTTTTCAGTAATAGATTCCCAAACCAGATGAAAAATATACACCTACGTGATCAGCATAGACTGGTTCTCTCGATCTAAGGAAAAAGAAAAGGAGAAGAAAGGCAGGTTATTAAAAGTGTGAGACCGTAATAGGAAACAAATGGAAGGATCCAATCTTTAGAGGCCACTGTAAAGTATAGCACTACATTAAATGCTCCAGTGCTTTGTCCAATCCAGTTTTAAAAGTCAAGTGATGTTCATTCCGCCACTTCTCCTGAGAAACTATGCCATCATGTAAAAGCAAAATGTTCCTCCTAAGCATGGCTTTGCTCACTTCCAACTGGTTCTTCTGCTCGTGCCTCACTGGACCAGCCTAAACAACTCCTCTCCCCCTAGATGTTTACACAGAGATGGTTCTTTTATATGTATAATTACTGTAAGTACACTCAAGTTTCGTTGTAGGCTTAAAATAAAAAAAGAACTTGGCCCAAATTCATCTTCGTTTTAATTCCACTGACCTCAGTGAGTTACACCCAGGATTTATTTGGCCCATTCTGACCATAATTGTGCCATTAGCTGATAAACCAGCTTCTCTTCAGAGCCATGTTTATGTCAACATCTCTCTGTTCTCCACCCTCTCCCATTCTCTTCCAATTGTTAGTCCCTTTTCGAGAGCAGGATGAGACTCCTATAGTTTCTAAAAAAAAAAAGTGTTAAAAATCACACGCTCCAGTAATTGCTTTTTTGCATTTCCACCTGTAATAAGATTTCCTTAGAGTAGCTGGCATGTGTGCACCATCACTGCCCTCTAATGGAAGGAATCAGACTTGATCAAATATTTATTGCATTGTTTCTAGTGGATATAAAGCCTACTACTACCAACTGCTAATGAGATTTTCCACTAATTCAAGAGGCAGTGCATGTGGCCTAGATGCAGAAGATCCCGCATATCTTCCTCCATGATTAGGTGTTCAGATTTCACAGCAATTAGTGTAGAATAGGTGCATAGATGATGCATGTATAGTTTAGACCAGTGTCTCTCAAACTTATTTGATCACTTCCCCCTTCTTTGTGTCTGTAGTAGGTTACGCCCTCCCACCCTCCCCCGCCAGAAAAGTACATACACTGATAAAAAAAACCCCCACCATGCAACTCTCACTAATATTAAAACAGTAAGGCATTGATTCAATCCGAGCCAATGAGTCATTGTGATAAGAGCAAAAGCAAAACTGTGATTATGGTTGATGCTTACAATTAAATGTGCACGCCACACTTAATTGTAAGCACCTGTGTAGTAACAGCCATTGATTTGTGGCTCTCCCTCATTTTTAGCTCTAGTTTGGTTTCCCCTCAATTTGTTAAAATCCTCTGCAACTAACTACTCTTTGAAAGTGAACCAGCATTTCCTCAACTACAGAAATAGTATGGACTTCAGGAAGTAATGCAAAGACAGACAGCTCCGAGCTTTGAGCCAAGGATTTCAGACAGGATGTATCAGAAGAAAAAAATCAGATATTTATTTTCACGTAACATATTATGAAGGTGGGTTGCCAACTTTCTAATCGCACAAACCCGAACACCCTTGTCCCACTCCCAGCCCCTTCCCCAAGGCCTTGCCCCTGCTCACTTCATCCCCGCCTCCCTCCGCTGGTCACTCTCCCCCACCCTCACTCACTTTCTGTGGGCTGGGGCAGGGGGTTGGGTTGCAGGAGGGGGTGAGGGCTCCAGCTGGGGGTGTGGGCTCTGGGGTGGGGCCAGAAATGAGGGGTTCAGGGTGCAGGAGGGGGCTCCGGGCTGGGGCAGGGGGTTGGGTTGCGGGAGGGGGTGAGGGCTCCAGCTGGGGGTGTGGGCTCTGGGGTGGGGCCAGAAATGAGGGGTTCAGGGTGCAGGAGGGGGCTCCGGGCTGGGGCAGGAGGTTGGAGTGCAGGAGGGGGTTCGGGGTGCAGGCTCCAGCTGGGCAGCACTTACCTTAGGCAGCTTCCGGAAGCAGCTGGCATGTCCGGCTCCTAGGCAGAGGGGCCAGGGGGCTCTGCGTGCTGCCCACACCTGCAGGCACCGCGCCCGCAGCTCCCATTGGCCATGGTTGTGGCAGTGTGCGGAGCCCCCGTGGCCTGCCCTGTGCCTAAGAGCCAGATGGAAGCCATGTGGAACCTGCCTTAGCCCACTGCACCACCAACTGGACTTTTAGCAGCACAGTCAGCGGTGCTGACTGGTGCCACCAGGGTCCCTTTTAGACTCAGCGTTCTGGTCGAAAACCAGATGCCTGGCAACCCTATATGAAGATGCTCATGAATCTAGAGTTAACTTCCATTTTAACTCCTATTTTTCCTCCTCCTCTACCCCTCATTGAAGTAACTGATTTCTTTGCACATTGGGATGCTTAAACTAGAGTGTAGGACACTTTTTTACTGAGAATTTGGAAGTTGCAAGATGAAAGAGGTTTATTTCCTACTTAATTGAAAGTTACGTGCCTTGCATTTTTCTTCAGGGCCTCATGTTTTGTTTTTTTTTTTTGGTCCTCACATTTTTAGCATCTCAGTAGTAGATTTTCAAAGCTCCAATGGTCACACAGAGATAGCTCTTCACACACTCAGCACTGGACAATCTTTAGGAATGTTCATCATTAGGGATTGGAACCACAGAGAGTATAGGAGGAGATCAAACTAGTTTAAGCTAGTTTTCTATCCCTTGATTGGATAAGCTTATTCTTCTAATTAGAAGACTTGAACAAGTCACTGGGGCTTTGTATCTCTCTGTTCTCAAGTCTAAACCCCTTTGTAGAGTACCTGTATACTCAGTACTGGTAGGTTTCACTGTTAAAATTCTATCCAGTAAAAAAAAAAAAAATAGGGAGCATCAGTCACATAGGCAAAATAACGTAAATTCAAGTTTGAAAAGCAAATGATGCTACTTACTGCGCAGCATGTCATTGTACGCGTTATCTGCAATGGAGAAGATGTGAGGGGGAGACTCTGACCGCCTCTTGCCTTTGTATGCATTAACTACTTCCGGGTTGTAGACTGGAAGCCATTTGTAGGGGTTTATAGTCACGCAGAATAAACCTGAATAGGTCTAAAAAGGAACCCAAGATGGGGAGTAAATGGCCTTTATATAGAATGAGATTTAAGACAAATCTATCAAATTAATATTAGTCATCCATTAGCTCTTACATAGTGCCTTTTGGCCCAGATTTTTAAAGGTATTTAGGCACAGCTCCACTCAGCATTAAAAGGCCTAGGTGACTTAGATGACTAAGTCCCATTTCCAAAAATGACTTAGGCACTTAGGGTATACGTACACTGCAATTAAAAACCAATGGCTGACTTGGGCTCGGTCTGTGGGGCTCAGGCTGGAGTATAGATGTCTGGGCTCAGGCTGGAGCCCGGGCTGTACGACCCTGTGAGTTAGGAGGGTCCCAGACTTCAGGCTGCAACCTGAGCTGGAATGTCTACACTACAATTAAACAGCCCAAGCCCAAGCCCAAGCCAGCCAGCAAGGGTCAGCCACAGGCGTCTAATTGCAATGTAGACATACCCATAGAAGCCTAAGTCTCACTCAAAGTCGCTGTCCTTTATCCATTGATATTAAAGGACTTTACAAAAGGAAGATAATAAGCATGATCCCTGATTAACATATGAGAAGCTAAAGAGCAGAGGTGAATTCTGCTTTGAAATATACACATGCAGCTTCCAATGATTTCAGTCAGAATTGGGGAAAATGTGGCCCTATTAAGTTAGTTGCTGTTGAAGCTTGTCCTGGCAGTGAATAGAAATGGCATTGATCTTTCTTTTTGGGGAGCTACAGTACCCAGGAAGGGTTTAGAGCCAAACAAGATAGACAGATAGTGAGGCTGCAGACAGGAAAATAGAAAGCCAACTTCCCTCCCCCTCACCTGTCCCCCCCGCCCCCCGCCAAAAAACAAAACAAAACCAAAACAGTGACACACATTTTAAGCTTGAGCCATTGATGCCTAAGAAACTAGGAATGTCTATGGAGGGCTCTTGATTAGTACTGAGAGCGGTATAAAATGAACCAGTTCTCCAGTGTTTGGATGAGCAGAAAAATATCCTGTTGTCCATTCTGCTGCCCCACCTCTTGAGGCAAAAAACACTGCCTTTATTTGCTTTTGCCTTTAGCTTAGTGTTCAGACACAAAATTGACACACACACACCCCCCAACACATTTCCTTTCTGAAAATGTGTGAATTAACCCCAATTTTAGGGTCAATCAATGTTGGAAGTAGAATACACAGTAAAATAGTTAGCATCGTGACACTTGTGGAATACATTTCAAAACACATACGTTGAACCAATGCCCCTTACATAAATCATCCAGTGGCTATAGCGCCTGTTCAAATTGTGCAGCACAGATGCCTCATTAAGGTGAGTCAACATAGCCATGTCCTCAATCATGTCAAACTTCGGGGGGTTCATCGGCTGAACATCATCTTCTTTTACAGTGACGGTCTGCAGAGACAGATAAGTATAACATTGCTGGCAACTACCGTCACCTTGTCTTTCCACACTACTTACAGTGTGACATTGAAAAAGCAACAAGTGAGTCGATGACACACCTTTAAAGAGACGCTCATGTGTATTGTCTATTGTATTTTTTAACCAGTAGAAACTAAGCATTACTATTTTTTATTTATTTATATTCTGATACCACCCAGAGGCCTGAACTGAGATGGTGGCCCCATTGCACAAATATAGAGGGACAAACAGTCCGTGTCCCGATCCAACTACACAGGACAGATGGGGAAAACTCCACAGGGTCAGAGGGAAAACAAAGGAGGGGATGCAGCTTGCTCAAAGGTCACAGAGAAGGTCAGTGGCAGAGCCAGGAATAAGACACAGGTCTCCTCAGTTTCAGTACAGCACACCCTGCGCACTACACGACACCACCTCCCTGGCAGGCTCTTTTACTGAAATGTCAAGTGATTCTCTCAGACCACACACATTTCTGATTCTTTGGGACCAGAGAAGAAATTTTCCCAGCATGAGGAAATTCTTCAGATCAACCTGTCCTACATACATGATGTTGTTCACTGTTAGAGGTAACAGATGTCAGATGAGCATGAGGCATAAGAACAGGGAAAGACAGACAGAGGTGGTAAAATATAAGTTGTATGATCTTGGAAATCACTAAGTACAATGCAGTTTAATTTTTTCCTCTGGGATAGGATTGGTCAGTTGCGTACTTTGCTCTTCAATACCAAAAAAGAGAAAAAAATGTACAGAAAAAAAATCACACACATGGGCTGTGGTTATTAACTGGTTTGATTCTGTTTACACCAATCATCCACATTGATAGACAAATGGAAAAATGTTCCATACCTTTCCATCCACAGTCTCAACAGTGACTTTGCCACCGCTGCTCTCTTTAATATCAGCTTCAATATAAGCGTTCTTTTCATCAGGAATCCAACACCTCTTCTTCCCTATGGAATCAAACAGGTAATGATTCACCATATTATACGGCTATTGAGTAATATTGCTAAGATTACTTCCATACCACAAGCATACTGAAACCTTAGGCCATAACACATAGTCAAACCAAGTGCTTTACGTCCACCAATAGCCATGGGAGCTGCATGTGTAGTTGTGGGGTATAAAGTCCCTTAATATTACTTTTATGTTTCCCATTTGCAAATTCAACTTTTCCCTTCTATAGAGCCTTTCCTCAGGGTATGCAAAACATTCCACAAATGTTAATTAAGCCTCAACACCCCTGGAGAAAGGTAGGCATCATCACCAACTTACAGATGGGGAAACCATGGCACAGATGTTAAGTATCTTCTCCAAAGTCATCCAATAAACCACTATCAGAACTAAGAATAGATCCCATGTTTCTTGCTTCCCAGCCATGTGGCATAATCACACTTTCACATTCTTTGAATTATGTCTACTACTGTTTGTCCTGTAAATCATTAATAGCAATAACAATGTGTGTCCAGCTACTCGCATCTCCTTTCCTGGGCTAGGAGTAACTGGACTAGCTCCAAGTTGTCTAAAAACTATTACTTTTTACTATGGAATAGTACAAATAATTTATTGATATACACAATAAATCCCTCCTCATCTATGCATTTATACTCTCACTCATTACGCTACCTCAAGATCCTCTATGAATGTGTTGCAAGAAAAATAAGTTATAGGAAACAAATCTTACAAAGTGAGGCCTGCAGACTAAATTCAAATCATACACTGTCAGTAAAAAGTTAAGTCTGTGTACACAGAGTAGATTTCAGGTGGACATGTAGACAATAGAAATACAAAGGAGGAAAGGATAGCTCAGTGGTTTGAGCATTGACCTGCTAAACCCAGGGTTGTGACTTCAATCCTTGAGGAGGCCATTTAGGGATCTGGGGCAAAAATCTGTTTGGGGATTGGTCCTGCTTTGAGCAGGGGGTTGGACTAGATGACTTCCTGAGGTCCCTTCTAACCCTGACATTCTATGATTCTATTAATGTACAGGTAGTATAAATATAGATGCATTAGTCAGACCACAGTAATCAATGTTTTTATTACAGTAGTATCAGTGTGCTACACATTTTAAATATACAAATATGAAAAAGTCCCTCTCCTGAAGAACTTACAGTTGCAAAGTTTCTAATTTGTAAATCCAATTAAGTATTCAGTTCACCAACTATTTCAGGTTAACAGGCCCAGAGCAGAGGAAAACATATTCTGTCTTACCATCAAATGCCACAGTTTGTAATATCATTATCTCCTTCTCGCTCTTCCTGAGGAAAGGTGAAGCCTCCCCGAATTCCGACATGTCCATCATCTTGGCGAGTTCTCTAGACAGTGCAGCCCAAAGAGAGAAGAAAAGGATCTAGTCTACAAAATAGAAAATACTCCCGTTTTACAACAAATCTGAGATATGATCCAAAACATACAGAAAAAATGATAGGGATTAAAGCTGTCAAGGGGGCCTGTAATAAGGGTGGCTACAAATTTCAAATGCAAATTTAACAAGTCAACTAAAGATTCTGGGCCACATTGTGTCCTCAGTTCACCTCTTCCCTTGCAAGCTCTTGGAAGTCAATAGAGTAGTAGCCATAGTTGTGGATCACAATTTTCTCCATGGGAGAATTTGGTCTAGCCTTTTTTTCTGGCACAAATGGTAAACTATCATTTTAAACCAGAGTTCAGAAGACAAATGGAACTGTGAGCTCCTGTATGTGAAAACTGATGCACTTCAGTCCTGCTTGAGTCATTCACAATCAAGTGGGGGGGGGGGAAGAGTTTCAAAACCGCTCAACGTTGCCTAATTCTTGAAGTCCGTGGGAGTTTGCTGAGCTCTTTTGAAAATTCCATTCCTTCTTCCTAGGATTGCTTACCTGCTAGATGTTCCAAGTATGGTTCCATGTAAATACATTTTCTTGACATGCAGATTAAATGGGATTCAGTATTTTATTTTCAAAGCCCATTTTAAGACAATGGCTTTATGGTCTTTCTGATTCTGCCTAATGGTCAAGCTTAATATGTACTTTTGTTTTCGCTGATGCGCTCTGCCAAAAAATGTGAGATGTGGGAAGCCAAACAAACATTTGTGTCTTATCCATTTTGCTTATCTAAATATTTGTTTGTCATTATAATTCTGAAGATAAATCCTGTAGTCTGTGCTCAGACCGAATTCTAACCGGACTGAACAGGAGTTTTGACTGAGCAAGAACTATAGGATTAGACTGTCCATGAGAGTTCTTTTTCAGACCATATTAGAGGTATTAAGAAGTCAAAGAAAAGTTATTGGGGATTGAAATGACCCCAACGCTGAAAAAAAGACAGCATGTGAGGTATGTTAGTGTGAAAGAGACTAACAGAAAACAGTCTACTCCCGAAAAGTTTTCAGTCACATTTAACAGATTTTCTCTCTCTATTTTCTTTTACTCAAGATGCCAAAATTATACACTTTTTTATGCCTGTACAGTTGATTCTTGCAACAGATATTCACTTCAGAAGCTTTATTGATTGTGCCAGGGCCAGAAGCTAAAGAAAAATTTGCAGGAGGCCGAAGTTAAGCAAGACTATCTTTGCGGTTTCAGGTTTTTATTATTTTTGCTTATTTATTTTACAGGATTCTTATGAAGCCAAAAAGTCTCCTCCAAGCAAGAATACAAACAAGGCAGCTGTGTCTCCAGAGCTCTCAGTTCTAGCTGCCACATAGTAATCTCTCTCTTTCTCCTGAAACTAGCCTAGGCTCTTGTAAAGATTCTGAGCCCACCTAGGCTTCACTGCTGACAATTACTTCAGTGTCACTCTGAGCTGACTGAAAAGTCCTGCAGTGATTTAACTTCATGATCCTCATAACACCATCTGAATTGCTAGGGCCTCTCCTCCCGGGGGAGGGGTGCATCATGGTGGCAGGAAAAGACCTCTCATGGCACCCAGGGTATGTCTACACTGTAATTAAACACCTGTGGCTGGCCCCTGTCAGCTGACGTGGGCTCCTGGGGCTGTAAAATTGTTGTGTTGCAGTTAAGGCTGGAGCCTGGACTCTGGAACGCAGGGAGGATCCCCCAGCCCGAGCCCCAAAGCCTATACAATAATTTTCAGACCAGCAGCCAAAACCCAGGGAAGCCTAAGTCAACTGATATAGGCCAGCCACAGGTGTTTAGTTGCTGTGTAGACATACCCCAAGAGACTCATGAAACAGAATTGTGACAAGACTATGTGTGTCATTCCATGTTAAATGTGTGACTAAAAGTGTGGCCACTTCTATATTAGCCCAGTATATGATTTTATAAGTCTAAAATATAAAAATAAACTATTTCTATACCATTCACATTATATATATTTTTGCTACCAGGCTTCTTTCTTAGTTCTAGGTGCACTACTGAGCTACACCCTGCCAACTCTTAGTAAACACAGGGCAAGCACATAAGTTAAGCAATTTAGACTATTACAAAAGCAGCACTGCTAAGATTAGGGAGCATGATCCTGCAAGACATCTGCGTGAGAAGATCCCATTTACTTTAAGTGGGGTTCTGTGAATGGAGGGCTTGCAAATTTGGGCCCTTGTATGTATATAGAATGCAACATCTTTTAGGAGTCTACATGACCAAATCATTATAAGACAAGGAAGTGAGGTTATTGTTCAGTCCGTTGCATCTACAAAAATATTTTTTAAGTTACCATAACCAGCAAATGTTAGCTTGAAACAAATATTCTGAAATCTGGGAAACCTAGATCTCAGTCCATCCTAATCAGTAAAAAAATACTACTACTATTTCACACTTGTATAGTACCTTTCATCTGAGGGACTCAAAGCACTATATAAGCATTAGCTAAGCCCCACAACACCCCTGAGAATTCCGTTATATCCATTTTCTAAACAGAGTAATTGATATACAAAGAAATTAAGCGACTCATCCAATATCATCTATAAATCAGTAGCAGAGCCAAGATTAGAAAGCAAGAGCACTAGTTTACCAGCCCTGCCTTTGCTTTAGCCACTAGACTACACAGCCAGTGAAGTCTGATTTGCAGACGCAATGAAGGTAATCACAGTATACATTCGAAATGGTACCCAACGATTCTCAAAGGATTGCAGCTCAGGTCAGTCTTAAGAATTCCTTGGGTAGCTGAACTGCTTGCAAGTTTGAACTACATAATTCATAATCTTCCTGGGAACATGGAAAATGTGACTTGCATATAATAGCTGATCCAGCCACCAGCTGCATAATAATGAGGAACCTGCAGTTTTGGCTCTTCCAGTTGGCTAAATGAATAAGCAAACATTAGATAGAGAACATTTCAAGAGCAAGACATGTTTGCTACCTTACCATTAAGACAGTACCCCAGGGTTATTAATAGAGTGCTGTGTATTTATTGACATCACTACTAAAACCTTAAGCTGGTAGCAGCATAAAAACCAATGATACAACTGTAGAGCATAGTTGACTATAAGTAAGTACGCTTAGCAGTAAAAGAGATAGGTACCTACCCTGTAAAGCAAAGAAGAAAAGTATCAGGATTCTGCTTGATGCAGACTTTTTATACACCTTCCTCAAGGTCACTGGTGGTGATAACAATTTAAAGGCATCAGTAGTTTCCCTTTGTTTCTATATTTGTCTGCTGGGTCCTGGAAGAGGCGGCAATGCTACAGCAGTGTACATGTGAGGGTATGATTCTGGAGACTGGAGGGGTGGGGGTGGAGTGGCATGCTATTGAGTTGCTTCCCTATCCACTCCATTCTTGCTAGATGACTTCATGGAATAACTCCTATCCTTGCCAAACTGCCTGTATTTTAATAATGGCAAGTGTTACTTTTTCTGAGAACCAAATTGCAGTTGGCTAAAAAGAGAAATAAGAAAATTCAGATGTCATTACTTTGGAAAATGAATTGCCCACCTTTCTTATATAAAAGATAAGTGATCACGAGGTGCTTTAGGTTCTATGTGCGTCTAGTGACTATGGAACAAATATACACTGTCCGCAAATAACAAAGCTAGGAACTGATCCTGGGGCTTCTGAGATCTCCAGTACCTTAAGCACCAAACGATCCTTACTCTTACTTTGATGGCCCCAGAGCATTAAAATCAGGCTCAAGGACTTTGCAATTCCCAATTGTACGCAGTGGCTAGAGAATGAAGATAGTGAAGAGTATAATGTTCCTATCTAAAAAGTTAAACAGCAGATAGTACTTAAAACACCCATCATCCTTGGTAGTGTGAAATTAAGGGTGGATGTCGAGTATTGTGCTTCAAGAAATAGTCCAGGATCAGGCCTTCTTGTGGTAAACTCAATTCCTGGACAGTGGAAATAGCCTAACAAGTTCAACTAAATGAACCAAAATCCCTGCAAATATTGAGATATCCAGGTTTATTAGGTTCACCAGCATACCAGGTTATCTGGGTATCTTTGGGTTCCAGTATAAGTTGAATGTATGTACTAGTGGAATGTGAAAGTTGCAGATAATGATAGTTGACTACAAGACAAGTAGGATAATGGGGCTCTGAAGAGTGTTAGTTGGAAAACTGAATTCCAAGAGTTAAAATACTTAAAAAAACATCCAATGTTATATTCCTAGATTTACATTGAGGTGATTATTTTTGTTTGTAATCAGACCAGAATAATGACTTACAAATTGAATCTGCTCTTTTAAAGCTGCTGCCCTGATGGAACAGACAAGGACAGGTTACAAAGACAAGGGGAACGCATGAGAAGAGCTAGGCTCACAGAACAGATAAACTAATAGAGGAGATGTTGATGTGCTATGCTTTGAGAGTGTGTGCGCTTTACAGACAGGCTATGCTGAGTGTTCCAGGAGGGGAGGGAACATCAATCCATACAGGGGAGGTTCCCAAGTGATACAGAAGCAATATTCCTTAACTAGAAACTATGTCCAGTTGGGTTAAAGGAGTTAAGGAGATAAAAGGCAAAAGTTTCAATGTTCAATTTGGTTGCATTCATACAAGCAACATGCATTTGAACACAAAGCTAGCTACGTGTGCCACGTCCCCTAAAGGCCAAGCTGCTGTGGCAGACGTGTTCTTCACATTTCCATTGACCCAGTTTCATTTCACCCCCTCTCTCAAACCAGTGCTCTAGAACTACTTAGCACTTCTCAACATGAAAACACTGATACATAATAATCCACACCACATGAGGAGGGATAAGAAACTTGCCTAAGACCACAAAAGAAGTCAGTGGCAGAGCTGAAAGAACAACTCATCTGTTCCTGGCTCCGACTCTTGTACCTAGAACACGTGACAACCATTTACTACAGTTTTTTTCTCCTCCAGATCAATCCCATACTCCAGCTATCTTGTGCTCAGGCCTCAAAAGGTTTGTTCTAAGGCCCTGCATTTTGTAATTTATTGTTTTATATCTGGCTCAGAACAAACCAATTTGATTGTCTGGATTTAGACTATTTAGGTGAATAATGAATGAATGACCCTGTAAAACTTGATTGGATGCTCCTGATAGTGCAAGGCAAAACATGATAGATTGTATGCATGGCCCTGATTAATGTTTATGGGGAGGCGCTTAATCTGCTATTGAAGACTGGGAATGCTATAGCATTTCACATTACTCATGGCTGCGGGCGTAATACACACATGCTCTCTCCTCATGTCTCCTTTCATACTCCGTTAGTAACTATTATTTCCAAACACAGAATTAAACATTAACAGCTTCTTATGTTAAAAAACCACCTATTAGAACCACTGTATTGTTTTTACGTCTTCTGTTCTGCACATATTCATCCTCCTTACACCTGTGTTCATGAGGAGGGCAGACAAATGGCTGTTTCAGCAGCTGATGCCAATGCCATTTCATGGTTTGTGTCACTTGAAAGTGGCATAGGTAGCACTGGGTCCATCCAGCATGATCAATCTATTTTCCTTGCAAATGCTGACAGGGTTGGTCACTGCTCATTTTTTTCTTGCCTTGTTGGGCTTCTCTCTCTTTTGTTTTACTACTCACTAGAATAGACAACTTGATTACGTTTGGTAACAATGACAAACAAGGGCATTAGCCCCTGCAAAGCTACATTTAGAAAGGTTAATACTGCTCACTAGTTCTTTAACAGATGGTTAGGTTTGGAAAAGGAGGAACTTTGATAAAGTGCACTTGTGACTAACCTATTTTTAATAACATTACATATTGGAGAAGAATGCCATGGTATTTATCTTCTCTAGAGCCAGATAGTGTCAACATGGATGCCATGATCTTAGAGAGGTTGTCATCTGGTTTGTGTAAAAGCCCCATTTATGACACCTTACTGTTTTCTAAAACACAAAATGCATCTGATCAAGGGCTGGCTGTCCCTTAAAACATGACATGCATAATAAAGTCTGTTCTTTAATAGCATGCCTTGGCAATAAAATAGCTTGTACTACTGAAGACAGCTCTGCAAGTTAGAGGGATGCTATTGCTAACAAATAGATATTTGGAGGCTGTGTCTTTTGATTCACAATTCCTTGGTCACTCCATAGAGTAAGCTGTAAAAGAGTATCCCATAGTGAGGTGCACCTACCATAGCTGTATCTGAAGAGATTTAGAGCCCATTGTTTACCCAAGGGCCCAGCTAGGTCTTTGCTCATTGCTGCTGGTGCATTCACAAGTGAGGGGTGTTGTATTAATTTAGATGGAATATATGGGCCCAAAGAATCAAAGGTGCTGATATGACCTTGTCACCGTCCAACATGAAACAGTTATAAACAAGGATTGGTATACAAAGACCTCAAGCTGCTGAGTATCATGACAAACACATTATAAATCAGAGGTGCTGGGCCAATTTTTCTAGTGGGGTGCTGAGAGCCATTGAACCAAACTGTAAACTCTGTATGTGACGGAAACCACTTCAAGCCAGGGGATGTGGCAGCACCCCTAGTTCCAGCACCTATGTTATAAATCCTTTTTAATCTTTTATTAAAGATACAGGAAAAGAAGAAAAAACAGTTCAAGCCTTTGAAATGTAAAGTGTTAAGCAACACTTTCATTTTAACATCCCTCATTCCCTTTCACTGGAGTAAATTTTTAGATGGATATCCTCTCCCCTTGTTTGACAGTCTTTTAGATGGTATTACCATTATATATGATAATACTGTCTTTGGAGAGACGAGAAGAAGTTAGTTGAGATGGGTTGGAGCTGTTATTGTTAAAGTCTGATTCCATTTTCTACAAGACAAGAGAAGACAAACACACACAAGAGGGGAGAGAAAAGAACAACAAAGACAGAAAATGCAGCTTCTGTCTCTGGTGTTGATTTTCACTTGCAACCTCACTTCTGGAGAAACACAGACACAGCACACAGCCTTATCAGGCATTCTGAAACGTGGCAAACTTGAACCAGCATCGGGCTTTTGAGGGCATTGCACTTAGCTGCCTTTCTGGCCACAAGTTCACAGCAGTGCTGCAAAATATATAATCTTAGCTGGCTAAGCCAGACCCTTCTTAAACAGAAGGTAAAAGGAGAGGAATAGGAAAGAGACACAATAAAGCGGGGAAGGAAAAAAGACACATGGGGTGTGTGGGGAGAACAACAAAGTCTCACATCCCAGGTAGTGTTTGGGATTTAGCCAGAGCTGGTGGAGATGGTGATGTCATCTGAGTCCCTCTCATGGCCCAGTCTGGTCAGGACAATGAAGGCCCAACAGGGTTACAATAGAGCCCAGGTTCCTTGGAGAAGGTGAGGCTGACAGCTATCATGACACAGCTCACTCTTTTCCCCTTTTCAGTCAGTCACCATTGAGGTAGTGAGCTTTTCCCCCAAAGTCTCTTTTTGAGGACCTCAGGAAGGAGTGATGGGTGAAATAGCCCTCCCATTATTTTGTCCCCTAGTTAGGCCTGACTTCCAACACAACAGTTTTGTTTCATTGATTTCCAGTCCCACTCTTCTCTTACTTACCAGACATGGTCCTAACATAGTCCTTCAGGTATATCAGTGGGCCTTTTTTGTTTGGACTAATTCAATCTGTTCCCTTTTTGCACCTTTCCCCATCAACATTTGTTAGAGATTATTGTGACACTTTATAAACTTTTATCCACTTTCCCACAGTTAGGCTCACAAGTGGGGTAAATTTGTAGGCTCAATTATTACAACAGGAGACAAATGAGAAGAAAGAGATCAAATGAACTAGAGTAGTCTGGTGTGCTTTTTCAGAGACAAAGATCATCTCACAGTAGTCATTCCATGGGGAGAAAAATGTTCAAGTCACATAGAAAGGGAAATTCCTGGGCATTATGAATGTATCGGTCCTCTTTCCTGTTGTGGAGAATCTTGGTTTAATTCTTTAAGGATTTGTACTCTTTAAGATAGTTTTGGGAAGGGACAGTAAGAGGAGTCAGAGATAAGACTGTTGCAGAAAGGAGGGAAAAAAGCTAAACACTTGGGTGGGAGGGGAAATCAGTACCTATTCTTTTTAAGAGGGTTCAGGAGCTTATCTGCCTACACAATTATGCTCTGCTACACCAGTAAAATTAAGCATGACAAAACTGACATTATTATACACACAAAATTAAATTACAAAACATGATTGTTGTTTTAGGAATGTGTAAGACTGCTAGATCAAATCATTAGCACTGAGGGGTTTTTTGCACGCCTCCCTGCATTTCATCGAGAAGAAGCAGGCATGCTAGACAGCTTTCTAGGAGAATATTGAG